TTCCTCTAGGACCAGATGAAATGCCTGCTTCAAATGAATGAACTCCCCCTGCTAGGCCAGAACAGGCCAGGTGGCTGTATCATTATGCTGACAGACTGAGTGTATTAGATGTTCTCTCTTGACCCACATGCTCTTAATAAAAGGTTTTATTCCATTCCTCTGCACACACAGGCTTCTGTTGCAGTCTCCCTTGAGAGATGTCTGCTTACCTTCTGGAGCTTGGAAAACATTCCCCTGCTCTTTGCACACTGGTCTGCTCTGGTGGACCTGTGGCCCTCATTAAGATGCTCTGTCCTGTAATTCTTCCCTGAATGCCTGCTTTCAAATCAAGCCAAAAAGGGAAACTAATTCTGATTCCATCAGAGTTTCTGACATGTTACATTAACCAAGCAGGACACGTGCAGAATACGTATGTTTTGGAAAGAAAGTATCAGGGCAACCTTGCTTTCTGCTCAGGACCTGTATAAACAGAGACAAGACTGAAAAGGGAAGCATTTTGCCGTTTAATGCCCAAGCAGGATAAACTGCACTTTTTCACTTGCTTAGGCACTATCATTGCAAGAGGGAACTTTCATACTGCTTTTCAGAAAAGGACTTCAGAGCACTCAGCAAATACAGATTTGCTGTCATCACGTCACATAAATTCACTCTGAACTGGAAGGCAGCCTTTTCTAAGAAGGAATGGCATTACTAGTCTGCTAATAACATCTTCACCATGGTATGGTGTCTTTTCCTCCAGTGGTGCATCTGCTATTTGCATTTCCAAGTAGTTATGCTGCATGCAGGGAGAAGACCAGAGTGACCTGAGAGTCAGTCCAGAGTATTGTAGCAACAGGTGAATATATTTTGAATCTTTTTTCCAGAAAATATTTTTTTTTGCTACAGTAATTAAAAAAAAAAAAAAAAATCTCAGTCTTTTCATGCTCAAGAAACAGAGGGAAAGTCCATACTGGATTTGATGATCCTTGGCAATGATTCACAGGTGGAAATTTCCCTTTGTTCCTATTCAATTATAGATTTTTTTTCATATTGTGAGACTGTATAAAGTAGGCAATTTTACTTCACAGAACAACAGTACTATTTGTGTAACTATATAACCCATAGTCCTCAAGTAGCAACATGTGCTTCTGTATTACCTTGCTTGTTGCTGTAAGAGAGTTAGCTTTGTGTTTTGAAAAAAAAGAAATTAAAGCACAACTTAGCCAGCCTTTTATGAAAAGCCACAGTGGTGAACTAAAGCCAAAAGTGAGCAGAAAAAGAGGAACTGGTTGTCTCCCTCTGACTGAGCTAGTGCCAACCCTGCACATCCCTGGCATGATTTCAGAAAAGTCTAAAAGACCAACAGGCACCAACCTCATGCCTATGGACCTGCTGTATTTATTCATTCAGGACAGGGACAATACAGATCTGAATACTGTCACTTCAGATCCTGAACAGAAAAGATATATGTGACATGCTGTGAGCATGACACCTGCATGTCACAACTCAGGTAATAAGTCTTCAACATAACCATGAAGCACAGCTAACTCTCCTCATAGTTTGTGCCCCTCTTCTTGACTATCAGCAGAATTTTACACATAATGCAAAGCAAAAGCAGCAGTTTTGTACCACACAAGTGATCTTGCACTTGTTCCAGACTGAGTCCAGCAAAACACTTCCCTGGTATATTGCTTTAAAAATGTCTGTGTCCTAGTGAAGGGAACTTCTTGTACTGAAGTTTGAGGCAGCAGGAGAGTGCTTTGCTTTCTCATTCCTCACACAGAACACCCACCAAAGTCATTAGGTGATTCAAGTGAAGGGCTAATTGCAGTGCTTCAGTTTACAGCAATCCCCTGTGAGATGCTGTGTGTGCCTTTAAAAGTGTTGTTCCTTGCACTGAAGTATTTACCACAGCACTCATACATCAAGTGGGAAATAATGCAACTATGGAGGCAATAATGCAACTAGCGTGGGTGGTAACCAGCCAATTTTACTTACACCTACAGCATATTTTGTTCCAGAAGATCTTATTGATGCTATTATGGGAATTATGAAATTGTTATAATGGGAACTGCTAGACAATATTGTGTACTTGAACACTTAAAATAGCAATGACTGCCCTAATTTTTCACTACATCTGCTCTTCCTCTTCAATTCAGCCTGCTGGCTCTCTGTGGACTCTCTAGTTTAATGACTGTTCATCCCTTCGTGTTAACAGAAAAACACAAAATACTGGATATGGGAGAGTATGTGTGTACCAGCAAGATCATTAGTCTGAATAAATGCAACAGCAGAGTTGCATGAGAAATGCCACAGCTAGTGGTAAGCACAAACTACAGCTTTGGGTGTAAAATACTGTAATTACAAGGGATGGAGAAAGCTCCACTGTTTTTATCCCCACAGAAATCGATAGTGGTGCAGACTTGTGCTCTTTGCTGGAGCAGGGGCAGTCTGATGAAAGAGCTTATTGATTTATCCAGCTGATGCTACTGAAGTGAATAATAGACTGGAAGAGAAAGGGCTTGTAAATGAGACTCATTCAATCCAGCATTTTCGAGGATATCTCTTATACACAGCTATGTAGAGATATATATTTACAAGTGAGTTTTTGTCAGAGCAACAGGCTAGTGACTCCTGGCAGAGTGTCTGCCTACTAATTCTTTGACCTGAACCACACCCATGGTGTCAAGCTTCAAGCTCTCACTAAAAACTGGCAGTAAGGAGGCAGCACCAGGGCACCTAGGAACAGGATTTGACTATGGTGCAGGTAAGCAGCTGGCCATCAGACCTCCCAGCTGGCTGTGGCCACAGAGAAAAGGTGAAGCTTCCTCCATGCCACATGTGCCACTGGAAAAGACTGTTGTGAATCTACAGGTTCCCAGGCTAAGAGAATTGTGAGTTCCAGGCCAGACCCCCAAAGCCTGAAATAATGTGGAAAGAGGCATGTTGTTTTAGGAATGAAAGAAATGCTGTGTGTCTTCCTTGCTCAGCAGGCAGATTTTCTAAGAATCTAAATCCACACAGGCAAAAATGTAAGTGTTCAGATTGATTTTGCATAAACTGAGAAAGATAAATAAATAAAGAGAGGGAAGGAGAGAGAGAGAGAGAGAGAGAGAGCAGCAGGCACACTGCCACAAAGTACAGCAAATCAATCTTCTCAGCAGTGATGGATCAGGGAGCAGGACTGGAAGTTTTACAGGTATATGAAACCCTGTGAGTATAAAGACACCATTAAAACACTGCCATTAAATTCCAGCACTGAAGGATTATCACGGCCCCTGGAGCTAAGCAGGTCATTATGTGACTGCGTATTTTTCATTACCATTTTTTATATACATATATATGAAGCAGAATAGGATTCACAACAGTTTCACCCTCTCTCTTACTGAAGACCTCTGCTTTATACTCAGCATCCACTTTCACAAATAAAATGCAATATACCATCAACAGATAAATGAGATCCCTACAGGGCTTTTATTCTGCTGTACTATTATATCTACTTTTCCACAAGATTTCTGCTTAAATGTCTCTCTTTATGTGCACACACAAAGATGACATACACCTGCTAAATATAATCTGATAGTGAAGAGCTCTTCTGTGTGGGGAAATGCATCTTTTCCTCCTAATTTGCCATAATGACTTATTAACTCTACTGGAACTAGGGGTGCATTAGCTTCCCTACAATAAAAGACACCAAAGTGTTGTATAGTAAGGCATAGCTGGATTTTTTTCCCTATACTTAGAAACAAAAAGGAGTTCTGAATGTTATCTTTCCAATTTCACCATAAAAACAAGTGTTTTGAGGGATTGTAGCTTTATAGACCACTGACACTGACTAATAGCTTTTAACATGATGGAAATGCTTGTGTGAGCCACATGGAGGGAGATGTTTGTAAATCTGTGAAACTGCAAAGTAAATGGTCATGCTGTGCCATAGGGTAGCTCAGAGACCACTATCAACATAGTAGGTATCCTATATAGCACTTACTCAAGGAGCAGACCAATTTATTAGCTGGTAGTGTCATTTTCTGTCATCATGAGTATTTCAGTCAAAAGTAACCAGCCTCAGAGAATAAGAATTCTTTACCCGTTTTTTTCCTATCTTTTTTTTTATGATAGAACTCAAAGCATTTTATGATCTGGACACAGACGTATTGGATGGGTACAGCCTCAACTCTTTGGACAACAGAGAGCTGAAGTTTGACAGAGAAGTACTGCAGAGAGATGGGATGAAGGAATAGGAAAGAGCTGTATGTGAGGATTCTGGCTCAGATTATTGTACTAATGAAACATGAAAGGGAGTTTTGATGCACCAGCAGAGCAGAGAAGACCTAATTTTTGAGAAGGGATGAAATGTAGAGCTGAATAATTGTTCATCAGTGTATATCAGAATTACACTTAAAACCTGCTTTTCTTTGCTTCTCTATTAGTCAGAAAGGCAGGACCACTGTGTGAATAGGCACAGGTGGAATAGACTTCAATGCTAAAGCTGATCTTCCTGAGGCTGCAGCATGCTGGCAATCAGATGTGAAGTTTGCATCAGCACTGCATTGATGTAGTGTACCTCTTTCTACCACTGGTCACCCAAAATTGAAAAAGGAGCATAACTATTATAAATAGAAATGTATGCACTCATCATTCCTGACAATAAGAAGCCAGAAACCAATCTGCTTGGCCAAATTTATTCTTTTGGAAATGCTGGCTTTGCTCTAAATGCTCTATTTTTCCATTTGCCATGCTGTAAGAGCCACTGCCAAGCTTCTCTAGACAGATGCTGAGGCAATATAGTGAGGAGGGCTGTTTGTGGGGAGGGCAGGCAGTAGAAGACTCTGTTATGACTCTTTCTAATTCTTCACTGTTTCATAGTCCAGGCAAGAGGAGTGGGGTGTCCAGGCCAGTTGAAAACTGGTCCCTAACTCATTTCTCCTACAAATGGTTCTGTGAGTTTAGGTCATTGATGCTGATCTGCAGTTATTTCGGGGCTTGCCACATACATCCCAGATCTGGGAGAGAGCACTCACCCTGCATGCAGAGCCCATCCGTGCAGTTCTTGGACTGCAGCACCAGCCCCTCACAGTCCTTCCCCCCGTTCTTGGGAGCTGGGGCCGTGCACTCTCTGCGGCGCCAGTGGGTGCACTCCGTGCCACAGGTGGACCACTTGCTCCAGGGTGTCCACTTGCCATCCACTGAGACAAGGAGAGGACACAACTTGTTAGGGATAAACAAAAGTGAGATCAAGACAGAGCAATGCACATGTCAGCACAAGCCAGTCTGCAGCTCCCAGCCCCTCCTGGCAAGGCAGAAGGAGCACATTCACCCCCACATCTCCTTTCTCCCTGCCCTGGCCGCATTTCTGATCTTTTCTCCCCTTTATATAAACTTCTAACCAATTTATCTGTGCTCAAAATGTACAAGCAACAAGCCAGGAATCGTGATTAATTTTGTGGTGGGGGGTATGTCATTTTTAACACAGAGGCTAGATTTTTCCAGAAATTCTTCTTCATTAGGAAGATATTTAATGTTAAGTAGTCTCTATTAAAAGAAATCTCTAGAGACACCAATTTATTCCACATGAGCAGAATCAGGAATGTGTTTAGCACCTTTCAAAATCCTGCAAATTATTTTCAAAAGCACTAAAATTAACAGCTGGAGAATAATATATAAAATTGTTCCAGTGAGAAAGCTGGATTATCAAACTTCACAGGTTGAAGATGGCCTTATTGCCATCAGTTTGAGCAGGTCAGTAGTAGGAGAGCACTGGACAATAGGACAGATGTCAGAATTTTATCAAGTCACCAACTACATGTCCTCAAACAATCTTGTATTTTTCAGAAGTTTATATTTAAATAACTTCCAAAAGTATGGATACACATCTCTTTCCAATAAAAATGCCTTTGTATTTGACGATTGTGTATGTCAGGTAAACATCTGCCTCAAACTTAATATCCACATCCCAGATGCTTTACTTGCTGAGACAGCTGGACTGAACAGACATTGCAAATATATTTACATCACAGTTGCTTTCTATATTCAAGCCCTAATTCTTTTCCAGAGCTTTCAACCTTTATCTCCTACTTTTTGAAGCTCTGAACGCTCCCCAAATCTCCTGAATTATAAGAGCTGAGACCACAGTGCAAGCAGTTTACAAAAGAAGGGCTTGGGACCAATGCTGCTTGATATGATGTGCTCACTATTTTATCTACTTATGCACCAGAACTGAATATGAATTCCCTGAGATGCTGAATTTATTAATAATGAAAAAGAAGCTTTTGCAACTAATAGTGTTCTCCCGAAATGACTGATGACAGACAAAGTATTTCTGCGTGCTGTTCATACTGAACCTGGACACAGAGTGGTGCAAGCTATTTTCTGGACGCTCTGGCCCTCGCAGAAGGCGCCGCCGTTGAGTGGGGCAGGGTTGGTGCAGGTCCTGGTGCGCTTCTGGAAGCCTCTCCCACAGCGGCTGTTACACACGGACCACTCTGTCCAGGTGGACCAGCCTCCGTTCACTGCAAAGCAGGAGAAAAAAGCATGGTCACACACACAGCCCAGCCTGGGCAGCCCCAGGGTGCTTCTGGCTCTGTGTCGTGCAGCTTCACAGGACATGGCACAAGAAACAACACTGACCAGGCACAAACCCGCGTCTCCAACACACCAAGTGTACAGCAGAAGTCATTGTACAAGCTAAAGAAATGCCGATGCTGAATGAAAAACATCACTTGATGACTATTAGGGTTGGCAGGTGACCTGCCTTATCCTGAAAACCAACCTGACCCAGCCTTAAGTGCCTGGTGGAGTGTGTATGACCAAAATCCCTGCAGGTTCAGAGACCTCTGGCAGCCAGAAGCTCATGCTCTGAAAAGGGCACTGTTTTCCAGAGGGAGATAACCTGCGCTACCACTCATGCTCAGATGCACCCATCACCTATGCATGCTCAGAGACCCCCATGCTTTGATTAGATATCGAGAATTTTCTTTTCTTTCTTTCAAGAAGGTGACTTCAGATGTCAGGACAACTTCACTCACCCCTCTGTGGACATAGCTGGTGAATATATGAATGTCCTAGCACTTCCCTAAGGTGTTCATAATGAGCTAACACTAAATGCATTTCTTTCGGTTGGACTTTGGGAAGATATTTATCTCTGGGAAGATATTTATGCTTACTCTCCTTTTCATCCATCACAGTTTCTGGGATAGATGTAGGAATGAAGAAGGAGTTGTGCTGCTCTAGATAATAATGTCATTGTAAGATATGGGTAATAACATATTAACTGCTTGGATTCCCTAAACCCAAATGTTTGTGGTATGACACAACCCTGAAGCAGCTCTAGCAACAAAACCCATAAAATCGCCTGCCCCCGACACATGTCTCTTCAATACACTTTTGAAAACAAATTCTTTATATGTATGAGGAAGGGTTGTAGTACGCCTACATCTTTATGTTTCTGCATTCATCTCAGTTACAAAACATGGTGCTCTTGCATGGTCCATCCCTCAATACCAAAAGCATGCTAATCAACTCAATTCAGTCAGTTTTCTATAAAAACTGAAGTAAAAAGCCCTCATTGTAACTTCGCAGAAGCAACTGCTTACAATTAAATCTAACTGCTACCCTGAATATGAGCTGAATATTAGGGATAATCATAGGGATTTTTTCCTACTTGTCTATCCTATAATTAAGCTGATTGTAAGAAACACCAGTTCAGTCAGCTGGCACATAATCAGAGCAGGTTTTGTTCTGGTGGATACCCCCACCTGGAATGCATTCGGGGAAGTAATTCTGCAGAGGCAAAGGCTTGGACTGGTGAGGCAGAGCTGCAGTGCAACACAGGCTGAAGAGACCCTAGGAGGGAGTCCCATCCTTTCCCAGCCAAACACAGCCAGTCTCAGTCATATCAGAACTGTGGATGCTGACACAGAATAATGCTATCCAATGCTTTATATTCCCCTGATGTTTAGTGTTAAGCTAAGCTGTGTGCCTACAAACTGCAGCTCCAGAATGCCTTGCTTCTTTGCTCTTGGTGTCCAGGTATACTTTGGAAGTAGGCACCAAAAATAAGCATATTTAAAGAGCTATAAAAAGATGGTGGATTCTGATGAGCTCTGACACTCTTACCAGTCACTGGAAGCACAAACTCTATCAGTTTCACTCTTATTTCAGAAAAGGGTCACTAAGAACATGAACTATATTGGTAATAAGCCATGCCTTGGACACTCCTGCTGGAGGATGTGCCCTGGTGTCTCCTTGCTGTTTGCAGCCAGTGTGTGTTACAGTTTCCTTCTCTCCAATGAGGCTGTTTGTGCAGGGGGCTCTTCCTCCTTTAACACCATTGCCTGTCACCAGTAAGACAAGTCATCACACTCCTGAGGGATTTCAGCAGTGCCCCTGACTGCAGCCCCCGTGTGTGGCTGCAAGTCACCAGGCAGCACAGGCAGCCCAGCCTGGGTACTGACTGCAGCCAGAGCTGCACAAGGGCATTGTGCATCCCCCTCCTGCCCCACCTCCTGCTCCGAGTGTGTGTCCATCCTCCTGCAGCAGTACAAGGCATCACCTACCATAGACTATGACAGTCGCTGTGGTGCTTTTCCTTTTGGCCACAATGTTTTTTGCAACACAGGTGTAATTGGCGGTGTCAGAAAGCCGGGCTTGCTTGATGATCAGGTTGTGATCAATGGTGATGTAAAAGTTTCGGTCTTCCACGGGGTCAATCACCTCTTCATTCTTCAGCCACTCCACCTTGGGGTTTCAAAGGGCCAGAGGGGAGGCAGTGAGTCAGCAACAAGTCACACCAATATGGACAGACACAGTTCTGTGATTGCGTTGCTCATCCCAGAAAACACTACAAGCCAAGGCACATGACAAAGGACTCATCTGATGAATGTCAAGAACTGAAACAAAACACCAGAGCAGAAAAACAGGAGAACGCTCTTCATGCCTACCCTTTCCTTCAAGCCCCCTTTCATTCTACCCACCCACACAACAGCTGTCTTGCCTTGCCTTGAAAACATCAATGCATTTTCAAAGGCTGCCAGGTACAGTACAGGGAAAAGCTAATCTGTGCTTTCAGAGTTGGAAGTAAGACAAAAAGAAAGGGTGATATCTTAGGAGCATATCTGCAAATAGAAAATTCTCCTACAACATCAGAAACCCTAAATCAGCACAGATCTCACCAATTGTTTTCCATATCTTGCCCAATCAGGCAGATAGTAATGCAGTAACCTTATAGGTATCTGACCTGAGTCTAAAACCGTGAGACTCTATACCAGAGTGGGTAGCACTAACAAATCACAAACCCCAATATTTTTAAGTACACTTGCACTCACATATACACTGTCTGGCTTCAATGGGAATGAAATAAAATAGAGTCAGTTACCAAGGAAATAGGAATTCACGAGGACATCAGTGCTTATTTTTCCTCTTTATTCGTGTAAGCTATATTTTACTTTAATAAAGCATGATTTCCTTGGTTGCACAGAAAAAATATTTTTTAATATGGTGTTTTTAATCTAGACAATATTCTCTTTATTGCCTTCCTTAGCAAACACCCTGTTATATCCCAGCTGACTGCTGTGAGCCACTCTAATATAATTTGGCTGCAAATTTAGTAGCTTGTTTTCATTTGAACTGAGTGCTCTGAAGGACAGGACTGGGGCCCTGGATGGATCAAAGCTGGGCTTTCACATCACTGGATCACTTCAGTCTGTGCCCAGGATTTAATTAAAGGAAGAAAAAACATAACCACAATCAACCCACTGCACTTGTGAGGTGCTAGCTGCCAAGTCCTTCTCTCACAAACTCCACTTTTCTAAAGACATTTGAGGAACTACCCAAGCATTGACATACCCCAAAGTCACCTGAGACAGCTGTACAGACTGCTCCAAACCATGGTGAGAAAAAAACAATAATTTCTCCTGGTGTTCAACACAGAGGGCTCAATTCACCCCTAGACAAAACCACCTTTAGCCCTGCCTTAAGCAGCTCCAGCTCCCCTACTCCAGTTTGGGTGGATGCACTTCAGGTATAAGCTGCTTCCAAAGATTTACACCTTTAGTGAATGTGGAGCCACTGCTCCAAGGAAGGCTTGATTTAAACCTCTCTCTTTCACAGCACATCACCGTGGGATGTGGCAGCCTCACAGCTGTCGATACTGCGGAGCTTTAAGACAGTGGTGCAACAAGGGCTCTGGGAATGGATGCATGTGTCTGCAAGGAACAGGGGAGGAAGAAAAAGACATAAAACTTTGGAGGTTGTATTTCTGTCACCACGGAAGATACAAGCTCTTAGTCAATAATCTGTTTCTCCTTGACAGAATGACTAAACTTGTTTTTTCCGCCTTTCTTGAATCCTAATAGGTTTCAGGTGTAATCAAGACAGACACATTCCTTTTCAGTCAATGGCAATATTTGACTCCTTCCTCACCTGCAGGCTGAGTCTGCATGAATTCTAGGCTGAAAAACAATCCAGGAGCTTATCTCCATCAGTAGGATGCTGCCATTTAACTCCTGTCTCTCACACAAAACCCATGTATTTTCTTTGGTTTTAATGTCACTATTTATTTCTGGGATGGTTATGCCAGGGCTGTAAAAGATGCTACAGACACTGACCTAGCTGTGTACATCCCACTCTCAAATCTGCTCTTCCTCTGCTTTGCACACTGAGGACACCAGGACACCAGTAAGAACAAGACTACAGTCTACATGGTCTAGGGCTCAGTTTAAAATATTTCTGGTATGCCCATCCAAGAATATACTCTAGCAGCCTTTGGCACCCTCAAGGCTCCATGCCCAAGCACATGGTTCTTTTTTACACTATTCTGCAACATTTTCTCTCTCTACAAAAACACACATACATATTCAATCTGGGTCTCAAATGAGTAGACAAAATTAAAGCTGTAAGCATTGAATTCCCTATCATCCCTGCAAAACCACCAAAGATAATATGAAAAGAGGAGTTGCCAATAAAAAAAAAATAAAAAAAAATCCCAAAACAAAGCAGCTCTGTATAATTCAGTATATTGCCTCTGGCTCTACACCAAACCTCTTAGGAAAAAGATCCTTTTCTACCTAATGTCACAGAATTTGGTAACACTAAAAGTTTGAAGAACAACAGGATATCTTTTTTTTTTTCCTGCTAGTACATCAATACGGTGTGTGCATGTCTAAATGCCATCTCTTTTACAAAGTATCTCTTAAATATATCTAATTCAGTCTTCTGACATCCCGGGTTTTATGGTGTCTGTTAATGTTGCAAACTCTGTGTCAAATCTGAAGGAAAGAACTGATGGATGATTTGACAAGCAGTGGGAGTCTCCTTTCTCACATATTTTAGCCATCAGTAGAGCAACACAAAAAAGAGAACACCCCTCTAGTGGTTGTATTTTCTCCCTCAGTCCTTGTAGAAATGTGGACTAAGACTGTTCTTGGTACTTATTTTCAATTACTGTTGGACCCATTTTTTATGGTGCAGGTGACTGCAGTGCTCAGCACCTCCAAACCTCAGATTTCTTTTTTTTTTTTTTTGATGTAACCAAAGTAGGGAGTAGGGTTGTTCTGTCATATAAGTAGGAAGAGATCAGGTGTCAAATACAGAAGAGAAGCAAGCAGAATGAGACAGTTTGATTTATGAGTGACAAGTATGCAAACTGTTATCACAGAAGTTAAAAGCAATGATCTCTTTTGATGCCGTGTCATTCCCCAAGGTGCAGCACCCTTACTGAAATAGGCTGTTAATCCAGTCAGTGCAGAAACTTATTCTGAATTTAATTCTGCAGCCTGAATAATAGCTACTGGAAGCTAAGGCACTGGACACTTGTGTGCCAGAGACCTGTACACCTGCAGGCAAGTGGACAGAGGAGTAGTAGGATATAAATGACACTTCAAAGTACACAAAAGCCTGACTTCAAGGTTATACCAAATCACACCCTCATGCCTCCATTTTTCATCTCTCTTGAGATGTTCTAAAGTAGATGTTTGCTTTTGCCTAAATATTAAGGAGGTTTACTGCCTAAAATCAGAACAATTCTTGAACATGCACCTAGCTCTATGTATTCAGTTAAATCAGGCACATCCTTCCGGCTGTTATTGATAAATGTACCGATGGTCATGCATATATGTAGAAAAAGCATGGACTCAGTTTTTTCCTTATCATAACAGCAATCATTTAATTGGCAGAAATTATGCCATAAAGGATGGGATAAGTGTACCCTCTGGGGGATGACAGCTATGGAAAATTCCAATTACAACAACATACATGTGGTTTTTTTCATATACCAAATCCCTGGAACAAAGAAGACAAAAAAAATCCCTTTTCTCATTAGTTTTCTACACAAGAAGGTATTTTTGTTATATGCTTGCAAACTGACTAGCAAGATAAAGCTACTCAGTTGAAGTGTAGAGTGCGGTGAATGGAAACCTGGCCAACAGAATCTGCAGATGCTGAGAAGCTGGAGCATTCCTGGAGGCAGCTACGTTTTGGTCAGATCTCCTTAGGACTCTGGATGCAACTTGCAGTTCCCTGAGACACACAGATTTTGCCAGCTGCACTGGAGCTGCACATCCAGGGCTGGCAAGAGAGCCTGCAGGAGACTGAGTTGTCCCTGTGGCCAGGGACGATCCAAGGTGTCTGTAATTTAGAACAACATACCTTGTAGTGTCTTCTCTGTCATCCTGCTCCCTGGTGAGAGACAGATGTGTTGTCTCTAATCATTCACTGATTGGTATTGGGAGATACATTAACATAATTGGCACATTTGTTCTAATTAACAGAAGGAACTTGCCACATGCCACCCAACATGAAAAGCAAGACCATCAGCAAGAGCAGAAAACTGCAATAACACCTTAGCTCTGGAGCTGTGGTCAGACCTGTGCTGCCACAGGGTGTTTACAGCAGCAGCACACAGAGACTAAGCCAGGCCAGGCTTCTGTGCAGACTAAATGAACGCAGGGAATAACGCAGGGAATAAATAACACAAGCGATTACACACGCAGGAAAACCTATTACAAAGCTAATTGCTGATACAAATTTAGCCATACCAAGTTACCAGCATTCCTAGGCACTTAAATCTCTTGGCACACTTGCATATGCGTGACTGTTTTAGAAACTGGTTGAGCAGAAACACATCTGCTCCGAAACAAACTCAAGGATGGAAAAGGAATATGATCTCATCTAGATCTTGCCCATTCAATCATAAGAGTTGTTCCCTACACATCTGGCAATCTCAAGAGCCAAGTCGGCAGGGTCTGAGTTCTGGATCCCAGTTGCTCATTGCCTTCTTTGCACCAGCCTGCCCTAGAGTCATCTTCAGAGCGAGAAGCACCTGCTGAAAACAGCAAGTCTTCTACCCTCCAGACACAGGCAAAGCCCACCAGTGCCATTTTCCACAAGAAACAAGATGAAAACATCCTGGAGCAACAAGAGACTTGCCTTGATGAAAGGCAATATGTAATTTTAGAAGGCAAGAACATTGCTCCCGTGCCTTCCCCATGCCTGGTTGACACAGCAGGATCGCTTTCCATCTGGCTCCCCATCCACACTGGATTGTGGCTGGTATTCTTTGCAGCTGTGCCAACTGGTCCCAGTGGCACAGCTCACCTTGCAGCAGTCCCTGCTGAGCTGGCATCACCTCCAACAGCCACAGGGAAATCTCAGCTCCCTGGCTTCACCTGGATTGTAACACACACACATTCCAGTAATAAAGCATTTGTGAAACTAACTAACTACCAATTTGGACACAGTAC